GGGGGGAGAGGGGAGGGGGGCATGCCTGGTGCCTCAGGAAGAAGATGATCCCGTCGCCAGACACGAGCCGCAGCTCCTGCTCGAAGCGCTTTGTGTTGCTGAACTGTTTCTCGAAGCTGATGCGGGCGAAGCCAGTGCCGTCGAAGTAGGAGCCATCGGTGAGCCAGGGGTCCCCGGTGGACTTGTAGCTGCGGGCAGAGGGTCTGGGGTGAGTGGAGGATGGAGAGTGGAGGACGGCACCGGAGGGGAGGCCGTACATACCGAGCACAGGGCTTGTCCACGGCCGTGTTGAGTCTGAAGGTCCTCTGGAAGTTGTAGAGGCTCAGCACCTCCTGGTTCAGCGACTCCATCTCAATGCAGCCGCGGTAGCCGGGGAAACGGAGGGGTGGGGGGGGCTGTGGGCAGAGCGGTGGTCAGGGCACCTCCCCAGGAGTGCCCAGTGGGAGCTCGGGCGGCAGCAGTACCCACTGAGGCTAGACACCCACGAGCCCTTCTGGGGAGAAGAGGAAAAGCCCTCGAGGCCGAGCTCACCGTGAAGTTGTCAGGATAACCTCCCACGTAGAACACAAAGTCGTCGGGCCGCAGGTTGAGTAAGCCCTCCACACCGGGGGCCACGGTGTCTCCCTTGATCTCCTGGATCACCTGATTCTCCACTGTGATGGACATGTGGCCAAACTGGAGGGTCCTGAGGGCGGAAGCGCGAGGTGAGACACGGCCGCGGGCCCCATGCTGGCCCCACCATGGCCCCGGCGCATCCCCACCTGTCCATGCTGATGGCTGCAAACTGCTCCCCGATGTCCTGGTCGATGCTGAGGGTGGCGGGCCCGGCCTCCCCCAGCCGGAACACCCAGTGCACCTTCTGGTTGCGCAGAGACACGCCCAGGTAATCCCCACTGGCCTGGATCGCAGCGGCAGGGGACAGTTGGGATGGGACACTGCTGCCCACCGCCCGCCCGCCCGCCCGCCCGCCGGGCTGTCCATCCCTCCTCCCGCCGCTCCCGGCACCTCGCGGCTGCCCATGTAGAGCACGAAGTGGTCTCCAGTGTTCTCTCCAGGCGCGGGCGCGGGCGTGGGGCTCTGCAGGTGGAACTTGAGGGCGGTGTAGGCAGCCAGGTCGGAGAGGTCCCGTGGGGTGCGTAGCTGCACCCCTGAGCGCCCATTGAACTTCATGGATACCTTGACCTGGGGTGACAGGTGCGTCCGTGCTCGCCACGTGGTCGCGAGGCCCACTGTCCCCACCAGTCCCACGCTGGGGCGGCCCTGCACACCTTGCTGGCAGCACCCCGGGCCTGAGCAATGAGCGCCCGCACGCGGCCGATGCTGGCGGACAGGGCCAGGCTGGTGTTGTGCACTCCGCGGTTCTCCAGGAGACTCAGCTTGGCCAGCAGCTGTGGCAGGGTCTTCTCCAGGGTGGACGCTGGGGGGGAGGGGGGACTGAGCACTTCACTTTGCCCACCCCTCTCCCTCGGGAGCACGGAGGACTGCAGCTCACCTGAGCGGCCCGCGTCAAGCACTACCTGGCCCAGGTCCCGGCCGCGCAGCCCCCCGAACCGGCCTTGCCAGTCCTCTAGGTTCTTCTGCATGTCCTGGAGCCGGGACTGCACGCGGGAGGCCGTGTCCTGGGCCTGGGCAGCCACTGCCTTGGCGTGGGCGATCTTCTCGCTTGTCTCGTCTGCGGGAATGGTGGGCGGGAGGGCGGGGCTGGGCGGGGACCACCCCAGCCTCCACTGCCAAATCCAGTCACCGCACCATCCCCAAAACCCAGTGCGGGAAAACCAGCTACTCCCCAGCAGGGATGCTGGCCTGGGCCCCGCCACATTCCAACTTGAGTCTACTTGTTCAGGGCGTGGAGCACCCATAGGGCCAAACGTCCCCACGCACGTGGTCCGGCCATGTGCTTCGCTCTGAGCCCTCTGCAAACAGCAGGCGCGGCCCTCCACACCCGCCCGCCCTGGGCCTTCACCCTGTGCCCGGCGTCTGGCGCGTGCCGCCAGCTGCACAGGCCGGGGCCGGGGCTCATCCGCCGCGGGTGGCCAGTGGCTGTTCCCAGGGCTCAGGCAGGGACGCACCCACCATCCCAGGGCCCCGAGGGAGTGAAGGCTCAGTGGGCAGGTGCGGGGAGGAGCCACACACCTGTGTCCATGGCCAGCATGGCCTGGGCCTCCCGGACCCGAGCTGCCAGCTCGTCCTTCTGTGCGTGGATGTCCCGGATCTGGGTGCCAGCACCCTGCAGGGCGACCCGTGCTGCAGAAGAGGAAACAGTGCCACGGAGCTGCGCCCAGCCTCCTCACCCCGAGGGCCGTGCCAGAGCCGCACAGACTCAGATTCCCAGCGAGTGCTGGCGTGAGCCCCGGCCTGCGAGTACAGTTCACATGGGATAGACCGTGGTCCCACGGGGCAGGGCCTGAGATGCCGCACGGCAGCCTCAGGACCAGGGAGCCCTCATAGTCCAGACACCCTGCAGGCCCGGCTCCACTCACCGAGGTCTAATCGCCGCCGCTGCCCCCGGATGGCCACCTCCAGCACACTGCTATTGGCCAGCAGTCGCTGGGCTCGGTCTGCCAGGCCCTTCCGGACCACCAGCTGCAGAGGGAAAACGGTGCAGTTCAGACTGCCAGGAGCACCGGGAAACAGGGGACCGGAGCCTTGGGAAAGTCGGGTCTCACCTACCTCCCATGTGTGAGCCGCCTGCCGCTGGGCCTGGCCGGCCGCGCGCTCCGCAGCCTGCACAGCCTGCAGGATGCTGCTATAGGCGTTGGAGGCCTCCACAGCCCTCTGGATGAAGCGGTCCTGGTTGATGCCCCGGATGATGCTGCGTGGGAGAGATGAGAGGCTTGTGGGGGGGGGGGGCAGGCTCGCTGTGCAGGACAGCAGCGGGGCGGAGGGAGGGCTCGCAGTGCAGGTGAGCCCAGGTTGTGGTGCCCAGCGTTACAACGGCCATCCTGCCTCTTGGTCCAGCCTCCAGGCCTCCGAGCCCCGCCCTCTGCCCTCCAGGTGTTCCTTCCTGACTCCTTTCAGGGGAACGGCTTCTCCCTGCAGGAACCCTCCCAGCCGAGCCCCTGCTCAGGCGTGGCTGCCTCTGGCAGGGGCTGGCCTGGCCCCCGGGGGTCCACACGCACCTAGACAGGTTGAGTGCCAGCTGGTCCAGCTGCCTGGCGTGGGCCTCGGCGGCCTCCACCAGGCCTAGCTTGCTGCCGGCTGGGGAGAAGAGATGCATCTTCTGCAGCAGGGGTGCGCGTGCACCGTCGAGGCTGGCCGCCAGGCGCTCCAGCTCCTGGGGAGGGGCGGGGCGGGGCTGAGTGAGGACACCCCGACTCCTACGCCACCCACCCGACCTGGGACCCCAGGGGCCTCAGGGGTACGCGGAGGGCACAGGAACCGGCCGTGGCTGCCACCCAGAGAGCAGCTTCAGGGGGGGGGCCGGGACCTCGGCCGGCCTCACCTCCTTGGCCACATCCACGCCATGCAGAAGCTCCACAACACGGTTCAGGGTCTGCTGGGCGGCCTGCAGGGCGGCCACCACCGTTGCGTTGTCCCCTGACAGCTCCTGCTTCCGTTGCTGGGGGCAAGGTTGGGGTTAAAGGGCGTGACAGGCAAGCAGGGGTCCTGGGGTAGAAGGAAGGAGAGGGCAGAGAACCAGGGGGAGGGGAGAGCGGAGGGGAGGGGGAGGGGAGGGGAGGGGGAGGGCAGGGCCGGCCCTCACCAGGGCTTCCTCCAGCTGCTCCTGGTTGCGGCTGTTGAGCTCCTCGGCCTCCCGCGTGGTGTCCACCGCCCGGTTCAGGGCCTCGCGAAGGTCCATAAGGTCAGCCTCATACTGGGCCAGCTGGTCATGGATTTCCATGGACAGTTCCTGGTTTTCCCCCCAGCGGCCAGCCAGGTGCTCCTGCACGTGCATTAGCACTGGCCAACACCGGGCGTCAGAGCAGTCATTCGGGCAGCCAGAGCTCCTCTGGTCCCTGACCGGTCCCTGCCCCTCCCAGGCCCAGCCGGGACCACGACACAGCTCAGCTCTGAGCCAGAACCCCACCCCCCACCCCTCCCCAGCCCTCAACTCTGAGCCAGCCTCCCCCTGCCCACCCAACCCCTCCCCAGCCCTCAACTCTGAGCCACCTCCCCCTGCCCACCCAACCCCTCCTTCCAACCCTCAACTCTGAGCCGGCCTCCCCCTGCCCACCCAACCCCTCCTTCCAACCCTCAACTCTGAGCC